AGTCATCAGTGGTCAGTGATTTAATTAATCCTACTTACATAACAGCCTCCCTAAAACCCTAACTCATGGAGTTGCTGGGTTGGTGAACTCATGGGAGTGCTGGGAGAGTGGTACACCCAGAGCGGGCATGGATACCCTGCATCCCCAACCCTATCCCTTGCCCCATACATCTCTCATGTTTGGCTATTTCTGTATCATATTCTTTATAATAAACTGATAGTAGTATGTAAGACACTTTTTTAATTTTGTGAGCTGTTGTAGCAAATTACTGAACCTGAGGAAGGGTTGTAGGTAACTCTGACTTATAGATGGTTGGTCAGAAGGTTAGGTCACAATTTGGGACCTGCAATGAGTGTCTGAAGTGATAGTTTTGTGAATTTGAGCTTTTAACTTAGGAGGTCTCTGCCAATTCTGGTTAGTTAGTCTCATGATTGAATTGTAGGGTCACCCAACTAATGTCCAGAGAGTTAGAGAATTGCTTAGTGTGAGAGTTAAATCTACACATTTTGTGTCCAAAGTGTGAGTATATAGAGGAAGCAGGCTGTTTTCTTTTTAAAAGCCTTCAAAGGTAAATAGACTTAACTTAATGAAAAAAAAGAGATTTTATATTGCTTATACAAAAGGTTACAACTGTAAAAAGTATGAATAAAAAAAGGAATTTATGGCCGGGCGTGGTGACGCAAGCCTGTAATCCCAGCAGTTTGGGAGGCTAAGGCAGGAGGATCGTGAGTTCAAAGCCAGCCTCAACAACTTTGCAAGTCCCTAAGCAACTAAGTGAGACCCTGTATCTAAATAAAATATTTAAAAAGGCTGGGGATGTGGCTTGGTGATTAAAGAGTCCCTGGGCTTAATCCCTGTTGCCAAAAAAAAAAGGAATTTATAATAAATTGAGAATAATCTAAACAATATTGTTAATAACCATAAAAGGGATGAGCAAATAAATGCTAGATAAATGTACATTTTAGAAAGGTAAGGTTCATCATCTTGGTATTAGACAAGGCAAAATTTAGGCCAAAAAGCATGAAAACAAAGAATATTTTATAACTTTAAGGCTACAATTCACAATAAAGATTTTTGAAATCTTTACCTTTTGGTAAGTCTGTTTACCCAAAGACACAACACCACTGTCAAGAACTATTAGAGATAAGGAGAAATAGAAATATGCTAATAATAGAGACTCAACACACCTCTGTCAGCATAAGTGGATGAAAAAATTAGTCATAGAGTCAATAACATAGATTTTACAAATGTACATTAAACTCCAAATCCACTAGTAAGGAATACATGTTTTCAAGTGTATATGGTACATTTATAAAAAATATCTTTTATGTTAACCACAAAGAAAATGTCAGTTCAAAATTATGAAAACTGTCAAGCAAAATTCTGGCCACATACAATAAAACTAGAAAATTATTTAAAAGTAAATATAGACTCTCCAGGTTTCAGTAGGATGAGGTGACTGCATAAATCCAAATTTCCCTAGGTATTCTCCAAAAAGAGAATACAGGACTATAAGTGTGCCTACCTAGCATTAAGTGAAATCATGGGTATGTGAGGAAGACAACACTGCAGTCCAGCAGACCAGCTCTGGAACCCATGCACAAGTAGTAACTGAAGTGGAGACTGTAGAAAAGAGAACAGGGAAGCAGGACTAGCAGAACACAGATAAAATAATTTCCTCTTCATCTCCATCCTGAATAGGGAAATTCCGAGAAGAGGTGTGAGGCTTGTTGGAGGAAAAGAACTTGAAAGTACTGTTTCTAGGAAGAGGGTACATTGAAGGGGCACTTTGCAGGGGCACTGAACCTCGAAATAGTGGAGAGTGGGTGGTAAAAGAGAAGGAAGTAGTAGAAATTAAGGATCCTGCCGGGCAGGGTAACACATGCCTGTAATCCTAGCCAAGGCAGGAGGATCAAAGTTCAAAGCCAGCCTCAGTAATTTAGCAAGACCCTGTATCAAAACAGAAAAGGTTGAGGATATGGCTCAGTGGTTAAACATCCCTGGGTTCAATCCCTGGCACCAAAAAAGAAAAAGAAAAAAAAAAAAAAAGGAAGAAAGAAACTAAGGATCATGGTGAAAAAGAATAGAAAAAAGATCAACCTCTCCTCTCATCCAAAAAAAGAATAACTGATGAAAAAAAAACCCTAATTAGGTACTATTGAACTAAGAATACAACAAATCATCCAAATCCTTCACTCCTGTGTATATACAATTGCCATCTGGCTTAAGAAAAATAAAACACTTAAAAATGAACAGAAGGTGGCAGACAACATCCATATAAAGTTACTTCAAGTAGAAAACAAAATGAGAGTCAAAACATTTCAGTTGATGAAAAGCTTCCCCAAAACATTCAAGTGTAGAGCTGAAGAAAACTACAGCACAATGCCCCTACCTGAGTTAAATTCAAGCATTTGCAGAGATAAAAAAGATTCAAATTCAAAACCCTGAAACAAATGGACAAGAGAGGAAAAAGTGAAATTATTATACTCAGGAAATAAATGAAACAGAGAAGTCACTCTTTAAAAATGAATTTAAATTTCAAGATAGTTAAGTGAGGAAAAAATTTGATTGAATTAGGGGCACCGAGAATAGGCATGAAGTCAACCAAGAGAATGAAAATTAAATGAAGAAAGGTAAAACAAATAGAAGGTGACTTTGTGTGTGTCTAGTGCTGGGAATTGAACCAAGGGTGCATGCTAGGCAAGTGCTGTACCACTGAGCTGTCTCCTCAGCTCTAGAAGGAAACTAATACAGAATGTATGTAAAATTAGATTTCCTAAGGGGAAAAAAAATAGCAGAGCTAATACTTAAACTAACATCCTTGGAAACATTATAAACATAACACTCAACTGTGTCAGCTCAGATATGGGGTGTAGTTCAGTGGTAAGATGCTTACCTTGTATGCTTGATACCCAGCAACACACACAAAGAAAAAGCTCATTGTATACTGGGAAAATTGATCCAAAATGGTCAGCGCCAAGTCAGGTCCTAATAAAACTGTTGGACTTTTAACATAAGAAGAAAAATTCCTCTGGGCTTCCAGGCAGAAAGAAGAGGTTAGCAACAGACTTAACAACAACATACAGAGTAAAACAGCCATAGAACAACATAGTTAAAGTCTATGAAAGTATAAGCCAGGGGTTTTATAACTAAGTCTCATTCCAGAAAAAGCAAAAACCAGATAAATCCCAGTATATTAACAACAACAAAAAAAAAGTATGTGATGAAAATTGTCATAAGCAAAGACAAATGACCTCCAAAGGGGGAAATATTTGGATTTATGTCACCAAGAGCTAATCTCCTTAATGAAAACAACTTACTGAAAGTCCAGGCAAATAAGACCATCAACCCCAATAGACAAAAGGACCAGCTGGGTGCAGTGGTGCATGCCTGTAATCCCAGTGGCTGGGGAGGCTGAGGCAGGAGGATCATGACTTCAAAGCCAGCCTCAGCAAAAGCGAGATGCTGAGCAACTCAGGGATACCCTGTCTCTAAATAAAATAAAAATAGGACTGGGGATGTGGCTCTGTGTTCGAGTGCCCCTGAGTTCAATCCCCAGTACCAAAAAAAAAAAAAAAAAAAAAAATCTGAAGAGAGCTCATAGGAAAGAAATACAAAAATAAATAAAAGAAAAACAGAAATGCAGATAACAGATGTATAAAAGATGTTCCAGCTCCAGTTATACAAAGGGAAATACAAATTAAAGAATTAAAGCTATCCTAAAGCATTTCTCACCAGAATCCAAAAGTTATACAGTATACTTTGTAGATTGTGGGGAAATAAGCATTTTGATACATTGCTGATAGGGATGGCTACATAACCACAAACTGCATGGGAGGGAATTTAGCCAACAAAATTACATATGCATTTATCCCTTGGCATTGCCATTTAACTTTTAGGTATATGTTCTAAAAACACACTGAAATAAAATGTGAACTGTTTTGTATATAGTTGCAGCGACACTTGTATTAGCAAAAGATGGGAAACAGCTAAAATGACCATTAATAGGGCACCGATTGGATGAACTTCAGTACATGCATGCAATGGAACAGTCTCCAGGTAGAACCCTCTTTGTCCAGAGGAACAGCATATAGAGTTAGAGGCACAAAGAACGAACAAGGGAAAGATACCAACAATGAAAGATTTCCCTAAATACAACTTGTTCATATTTTGACCTTAGAATCATGGATATTTTACACATTCAAAAATAAGATTAAATGAAAAGAAAAATAAAAGGAACTGAAACAAATTTATACAATTGTATAGCATTTTGGCAACACAGCCATAGAAGAAAAGGAACGATTTCTAGTGGTTTTAGAAGACGGATTTTAGAGTGTCCCTTTTCAGTAGGAGTATTTTGGTGTATTTCTATTTTTTTAATATTTATTTATTTTTAATATTTATTTTTTAGGTATAGATGGACACAACACAATGCCTTTATTTTTATGTGGTGCTGAGGATCGAACCTGGGTCCTGCCCGTGCTAGGCGAGCACTCTACCACTGAGCCACAATCCCAATAAAGTGAAAATAAAATACAAAATTTCATGAGCCTAGGTTACATGGCAGGCATTGTGCTGGCACTCCTCTGTGTGCTATCATTTGGTTCTTTTATATTTGTTTGTTTGTTTTTGGTACAAGGGATTGAACTCAGGGCACTTGGCCACTGAGCCACATTCCCAGCCCTATTTTGTATTTTATTTAGAGTTTCACTCACTGAGTTGCTTAGCACCTTACTTTTGCTGAGGCTGGCTTTGAACTCTCAATCCTCTTACCTCTTGCCTCAGCCTCCCCAGCCACTGGGATTAATGTTTGCACCACCACCGCCAGCATCATTGATGCAGCTACACATTGTCATCTATAAACCTGATAGGTTCCCTGAATAGGTTCAGAGAGCTTAAGTCGTTGCTTCATATTATCCATTTACTTAGTAGGAGATTGTGACTTAAACCCATATCTATATGATTCCAAAGCCTGTGTTTTTTCTACCACATTATTGCAGGATATACATCAAATTTTAAGAAGAAAGAAAATCAGGAGCTAAGGATTCTGTTTAAACCTATAGTTGCTGCTCAGAAAATAAGGATGCAGACTCCAAATTGTTGGTTTACATGTGCTTCAAGCAAGAGCAGTATACTAAAGGAGAGAAGTGTAAGTTTTCTCTTATTTCTGATATGAAAATGTCAACACACACATACACACGCATATTTTGATGTTGAAAATAAATTTTACAAAGTTGTCATTGATGAATGAAATTAGTAAAAGATATTAAATAAAAACATGTGGTGAAGCAAAAAAGAAAAAACTAGCAGGCTTGGGTTTTCTTGATACTGTTAAAAGCTGGGGGTGCAGTGGGGGGAAAGACCTGAAAAGGGCTGTGACACTTCAAAGGGTTTTGTGACATTTCAAAGTTCTTTCTTCTATGTTTTGTGCTATAAAACAATAAAAAGATAAAAGAGCTATGATTTTACCAAACATCTAATGGGCAAAGAGCATCCTTGAATCTGAAAAGATTTTGTCTGGAATTTTTTTTTCCCCTAAGACAAGATACTAGTTTAAATACGTTGTGTTTCCTCCTGTTGGAGAAGTGGGCTGTAGAGAATTTAGAGATGCTAGACCTCCTTCACCCAAGCCAGCCCTTCATATTTCTACTGTTTTTTCTTGATTATAAATATATTTTTCATTCAGCCTAATGTTACTTTTTTTTAAAAAAATCCAACTCTTGAAATAATTGTGGCAAGGATTTTATCTTGTTTTTATTCATTTGTATTTGATTATGATGGAAAATATTTAAATTTGTATCTCTGAAAGCAATGAGAGAATATGTTGGATTTATTTTAAAGATTTTCAAAATTTTGAAGATTTTTCTTTTTTGTCAGAAGCTGTGTTGATCAGTGACTTTGGTGAAAACTGAGATAACTGAAACGAATTTGCAGATGATACATGACTTCTAAGGTAAGATAATGTAATAAAGCTCAAGATCACAATTATTGCCAGGTGTGGTGGTACACACTTGTAATCCCAGTGACCTGAAGTCTGAGGCAGGAGGATCACAAGTTTGAGGCCAGCTTTAGCAACTTAACAATGCCCTAAGCAACTTATTGAGGCCTTATCTCAAAATAAAAATAAAAGGTCTTTGGTATAGCTCCATGATACAGTACCCTTGTATTTCCCAGTACCACAAAAAAGAAAAATAATCATAAAACATAACAAGGGGAAAAATCAAAATACTATGAGCAAGATTTAAACAACAAACTGTACCATATCTACAGAGATTTCAGCTATAATAAATATCTAATACATAAAATCAATATATTTGATATGTTTAATAAATAAAAGGAGTTATAAAACATAAATAAAAAATAAGAGACTAGGAAAGTGGCCAGACAATCTTAAAAAGAAATAATAACATATCAGAAATGAAAATTATTTATAATAATAGAATTTTTAAAATTAGCCAGGCATGGTGGCACTGCCTGTAATCCCAGCGGCTCGGGAGGCTGAGGCAGGAGGATCCTGAGCTCAAAGCCAACTTCAGCAATTTAGCAAGTGCTAAGCAACTCAGTGACACCCCGTCTCTAAATAAAATACAAAAAAAGCCTGGTCGTGTGGCTCAGTGGTTGAGTGACACTGGGTTCAATCCCCAGTACAAAAAAAGAAAAAATAATGATGGGCTAATCTAGCACATAGGCACAGTTAAAAAGAAGGAAACTACAGAGAACTTTATACAGAGAGAAAAAAACAAAATATGAAAAATATTGTGAGACAATCCATTCAGACTCCGGAAAGAAAACATGGAATGGGTATGAAGCAATATAGTAACCATTAAAAAATTGCCAGAATAGATGAAAGACACAAATCCTCCGACTTAGAAAGCCCAGTATATTCCAAGTAAAGTAAGTAAAAAGATGTACATAGCCACATTATTGTTAGGTTGCAGGTTGCACAATTGAGATGTGTAGATCACAACCCACACATTGAAAAATACTCTTATAAAGGTACTATTCAAGAAAAAGGCAAATAGTTCTAAAACAAAAGAAGAACTAGTAATTTTAGTTGGCCACATGAATAAATTTAAGCATTATTAGAAGACAGAAACAAAATAATGTTATATTCATGCTTCACAAATAAGGCATAATTATAATACTGTACTGGCCTAAATGGCATTTAAGCCAGTGGAGCTTGATTGGAATTTTAGGATTCTAAGGTCCATGTATTGTGTTAACTAAAGGTATACCAATTTCAAGTATAATCATTAAATGAAGACAAATAAGATGTTTCTTTTAAGACAGCAAGAAGAAAAATAAACGGGGTAGGGGAGAACAATGATTAATTTAAAAGAAGTCCAGAAATAAGTACTCATTTTTTTCTGGTGCTGTGGCTTGAACTCCGTCCTGCATGCATAATCAGCTACCAAGAAGCTACACCCTAACCCAAGTACTCATTTTTTGTTTTACTTTTTTTACTTTATTTATTTTGAAATTCATCCATGTTGTTACTTGTATCAATAGATTGTCCTTTTTATGAATATAGCATAATTTGCTTATCCATGCATTTGTGGATGGAATCAGGTTGTTTCTGGATTTCACCTAATACAGAGAAAGGTACTATGAATGTTCATGTATAGGTCTTCATGCGGGTATGTACTTTCTCTTCTCTTGGATGAATTTCTTTTTTATTTTTTTAATTTTTTTATTAGTTGCTCAAAACATTACAATGATCTTCACATATCATACATTTGATTCAAATGGGGTAATTTCTAAGGGTCAAATGGCTATGACATATGGTAGATGGATATTTGACTTTTTAAGAAGCTACTAGATTATTTTCTAAAGCAGTTATCAACAGTAAATGAGTAATCAAGTTGTGGTATATCAATTCAACATACTACCACTCAGTGATGCTTATACCAAGTAGATGTATCTCAGAACAGTTACACTATGTAGAAGAAGCCAGACCACTCTCTGCTATTTTATTCCTCTTGCTAAAAATTCTAGAAAACACAGTTAACATATAGTGACAGAAAGCATATCAATAAAATGTGGAGTATAGAGCAAGATGATAGATTATGAAAGGACAGGAGAAATCTGGAGGGTGATATAGTCATTATCTGACTATTATTATTATGGTGATGGTTCTACAAGTACATTCAGGTATGTCAATATTTTTCATGTTGTACATTAAAATATGTATAGTTTATTGTTTGTCAATTATTTCTTCTTTTTCTTATTTTTATTTTTCAGTACCAGGAATTGAACCCAAGGATGTTTTACTTCTGTGCTATATCCCCGTCCTTTTCATTATTTATTTATTTTAATTTTTGGTACTGGGGATTAAACCTAAGGGTGCTAAACCACTGAATCACATCCTAGCCATTTTCATTTTGAGACAGGGCCACACTAAGTTGCTTAGGGCCTCACTAAATTGCGGAGGCTGGTTTGAACTTATGATCTTCCTGCCTTAGCCTCCCCAGTTGCTGGGATTACAGGTGTGCAACACTGCATCCAGCTTTATTTTTTTATTTTAAGTCAGAGTCTCACCCATTTCTGTGACTGGCCTCAAACTTGAGATCCTTCTGCCTCAGAAACTCTTGGGATTCTAGGCATACGTAATTGTGTCTAGCCAATTACTTTTTAGGTCTTTTTAAAGAAAATAAAAGGGACAAGGAAATAGAGTAACATGTCTTGATAAAAACTCAGGTGGAAGGCCCAAAGATTTGTTCCTATTTGGATTACATGACCTTTAAGTCTCTCAGTGTGATTCAGTGAAAATATGAAGGGATCTTTAGTCATGTACTTCAGGAAACTTAACACAAAAAAAACCCCAAATAACCCAATTAATAAATGGGCAAATGAATTAAACAGATACTTCTCAAAAGAAGAAATACAAATAGCCAACAAATATATGAAAAAACGTTCAACATCATTACCAATTTGGGAAATGCAAATCAAAACTACACTGAGATTTCATCTCATACCAGTCAGAATGGCAGTCATCAAGAGCAAACTATAATAATTGCTGGAGAGGATATAGAGGAAAAGGAACACATTTAGACTGTTGGTAAGATTATAAATTAGTACAACCAGTATGAAAATCAGTGTGGAAGTTCCTCAAAAGACTAGATATGCCCACTCCTCAGTGTCTATCCTGAGGAATTAAAGTCATCATACTCTAGTGATATACATGCATGTCCATGTTTATAGCAGTACAATTCATAATAGCCAAACTTTGGGAACCAGCCTAGAAGTCCATCAATGGATGAAGGGATAAAGAAAATGTGGAGTTTTATTTGGCCATAAAGAAAAATGACATTTTGTCATTTGCAAGAAGTGGATGGAACTTGAGACTATTATATTAAGCTAAATAAGCCAAACTCAGAAGGTCAAGAGTTGTATGTTTTCTCCCATATGTGGAATCTAGAGAGGAAAAAGGAAAAGAAAGGTTGGGGGGCCAGTGAAAATCAAAGTGATATCAGTAGATGGAAGAGACCAGGGGAAAGGAGAAGGGTAGGGAGGGAGGCAGTGATACTGGCCAAATTGTATTGTTACATTGTGTGCATGTAGCACATGTGACAACAGATCCCATCATTATATACAATTATAATGCACCAATAAAAAAAGTGAAAGGACTAATAAAAAGAAAAGAATACATAAAGGGAGCAGGTATGACATTCTCAATATTAAATGATAGGAATTATTAATTAGGATTCAAAAATCTAATAACAAGCAGATAACCTCAGGTGGCTGTCTATATCAGCTTCATCTCTATAGTAGAGATAATATGAGACCCTGGGATCAGACAGTCCTTGAGTGTACTTGAATGGGCCAACCAGTCTCCTTCTAAGTGACTCATTCCTCTTTTAAAATATATATGTCAACACTTTTAATTTAGATTATAGTTACTGTATATAGTCCTGGGAGCCATTTTGTCTCTTCTGTAACATTATACATGTCTATTGGTTTTCTATGGCAGATTTTATGGATAAATTCACCACATTCATATTATGTGTAGTATTCCACATTTTTGGGGTTTTCTTATTCCCCCTGCCCGCAGTTATCCACACCATAAGGAAATCCATTTTATAGCAGTTAACACCATGAAAAAGGGTGTGTTTAGTTAAGTACATATTTCTAATTCTACAACTAAATTTAAATTAAATATTATAGATCAAAATAAATTCCAGGCTGATTAAAAGGAAAATAAACAATACAACCAGTACCATATTTATCAACTTTGCAGTTAACTGAAAAAAAAGAAAGAAAAAGAAAAAGAAAACCCTGAAGAGTATTTTAGAGATTACAATATATAACATTTTTTGTACAAATAAATGTTAGTAAAGCTGAAATACAAAGGAAACAGATTAGGAGAAACATTTAAACTAAAATTAATATTTATGAAAAATAAATAACTCAAGTTTTATAAAGAAAAATTTCAAGACTCCAGTGGATTGGACTCCCCTGTCCAGTCCTGTGCAACTCCACCCTCCGCCCCATCCCCCACCTATTGTAAGTCAGCATCCATATATCAGAGAGAACATTTGGCCTTTGGTTTTTTGGGATTGGCTTATTTCACTTAGCACAACAGTCTCCAGTTCCATCTATTTACTGAAAAATGCCATAATCCTATTCTTTGTGGCTGAGTAATATTCCATTGTGTGTATGTATGTATGTGTGTGTATATAAGTGTATAAGTACACACACACACACACCACATTTTCTATATCCATTCATCTGTTGAAGGGCACCTAGTTTGGTTCCATAGCTTAGCTATTGGGAATTGAGCTGCTATGAATATTGATGTAGTCGTGTCACTATAGTATGCTGATTTTAAGTCCTTTGGGTATAAGCTGAGGAGTGGAATAACTGGGTCAAATGGTGGTTTCATTCCAAGTTTTTAGAGGAATCTTCATACTGCTTTACAGAGTGGTTGCACCAATTTGCAGTCCCACCAGTGAT